TTTTTATGCCATACTATACTATGACGTTTTTATGCCATATTATACTATCACGTTTTTTTTGACATTTTTTGACTTTTTATGCCATACTGTACTATGACATTTTTTGACTTTTTATGCCATACTATACTATGACGTTTTTTGACATTTTTATGCCATACTATACTATGACGTTTTTTGACATTTTTATGCCATACTATACTATGACTTTTTATGATGTTTTTTGACATGTTCAAGCCTTATACTATAAAAACATCATAGCATAGTAAGGCAGAAAAAGTTATAGTACAGTACGGTACAGTATAGTATGCCTTTTCAATGATGTTTTTTGGCCTTTTTATGCCTTATTATATTATAAAAACATAATTGTATAGTAAGGCCTTATTATACTATGACGTTTTTATGCTTTAGTCTAGTAAGTCACAGTATAGTTTGGCATAAAAATTTCATACTGCAGTAAGGCATAAAAACATCATAGAATAGTAAGGCTAAAAAAAGGCATAAGCAAGGCCCGTCACCTGAGAGTGCCCGGGGCCCATCCACATGCTCACCACACATAAGAGGGCCACTACAGATGACACAAAGGGAGGCAGGGAAAAGGACAAGGAGGTGCGGTGGAGGGAGGACAATAGGGGAGTGAGTGCAAGGACCCTTGTTTGTTGTTCCCCTCATCCATCAGTTTTCACCTGGGCTACTGAGGAGAATAGGTGTAACTTGCATAAGAGAAGGGTGAGCTATTATGTGAGCTGTGCTAGCTTCAATTAGCTAGCTCTCAATGTGTGAGGTGGTAGGGGTTACATAGCTCTCTGAACCTACTAGGTTGAAACCTGTGACCTTTTCATTGTGGGGCATAACCTGTGGCGCTACAACAAGCTAAGCCATTAGTGATGCTAGCTTAAATGCAGTGCAGACCATGCTCATCCTTAAAGCAATCATCCTTTTAAATTTCCATATAATTTAATGTTTATTGCAAGTTTCTGAAAATTACAGCAACGAATCTCAGCAGAAAACTCAAGGAGCAAAGTCATAACAAAACTGAAAAGAGACTAAACACCACAACAATAACCATTTACAGCTACAAAACATCCCAAAATAATAGCAGTCAATCAAGAATTTGTTGTATTGCTACTTAAGTTGCTTTTGGCTCTCGCAAACGACAAGAGCATCAAGGTTTTAATAAACGCTATGCGTGCTTGAAAGAGCACACATTGCTAATACGGTTTTTCACTTAATAAGCCAATCAATACATTGAACATTAGGCCTCTTTTCTTAGACTCCAGGGGGGATTCCAGAGGGGCCAAATCAACATGGACACACATTCACATGGACAATGCAAGGGGGCACAAAATCCCCATTGGGATTTTTTTCCAATGTTCGTTAATAGTAAAAGTTCATCCACCAGAAAGAGAAGTTGAGGGTGGGGGGACGAGGGGGGATGAGGGGAGATCTTGACCCCTCAGCAGAGGGTTAACAAATTTGTGCTTAATGATTGGAGCAATGAATCCTGGGACAAAAGGTCTCCAGCCGAGGCTGGCAGCAAAGGGGTTACAGGCAGCGTTCATTCAAGCGTTCTGCCCGACATTTTGGGGAAAGCTGACCAGAGACGGACAGAAAAAATTCCATACACTCTACGCCATAATTAATTCTTCCACCCTGTGATAACTATTGTCCTGAAACTGAAAATTACAGTTTTCAGGGGCCACCCCTGGCTAATTTCGTGGAAGAAGGAAAGCAGGGAGAGGAAGAAGGGAAAGGGGGTAAGGGTCATCCGAGAGTCATTTTTGTCGCTATCAAAGGCTTGGCTCGCTTCTGCTTCACTTGCTGGGCTTCATCTCTGCTGACAGGTGTATTGTTTCGCAAGGGGATATAAGCTCTGTAATCATCATTGGGTGGAAAGCATAACGCTCTTCACTAAGCAGGACTAATTGGCTTTAGTTTTAACTAATGTTGCAGTGTGACTGCTAGGGACACCTTCTGTATCAAGGCTCAGCACTCTCCAGCACAATAACCGCTCAATTTAGCCCCGCGGTAACAAAACCTCAACTCTGCTAATGAAAATTGCTTATAAAATATAATGAACCTGTGCTCTCTTAATCAAATAAGATAACCGTTTCCCCTCCTCCCGTAATAACCTATTAATTTAATTGGTCATGAAAGAATATAACACATCACTTACATTTAATTGACCTAGAAAGGAAAGTAGCAATTTGACGGAGACAAGCTAGCAGCTAGCATCGGCTAGCTGATGAAGCTGTAAAGAAACGATTAGTTGTGAGGAAGAGTAGACATATTTCTGTCACCATCTCTCTCCCAGCTTCTCTCCCTCCTCCTTATTCCTTCCTCCCTCCCTCTTGTCATTTACTCTTTTCTCTCTAGCCATCTCTTCATCCGCCCCTCCCTCTCAATATCTACCCTTCTCTCTCTGTCTTTTTTTCTCCGCTGTCTACTTGTCTTCTCTGCGCTTTGCCCGTCTCGCAGAGGATTCCTCTGGTGGCCCAATTACGAGATTCAGCAGGCAAATTGAGGCTGTTTAAAGCAAGGTCTGCTGGGAAGGCTAGCAGCTGCTGGAAAGAGGCTGCTTGGACACGGCGAACCAGCCCTCATGTTTACACACTTGCTCGCATAAACACAGACACACACACACACATGCCTCATTCTGAAAGCACAGCCTTTCTATTACCATGTCTCCCTGCATTTCAAACCTGAAAGATGCCATTCGATGTGAGATTTTCTGTTTTTGTTTTGGCCGTGGACATTTGTGACGGAAACAAGGGCGGCATATTTTCATCATGGCACGCACACACACGCACGCGCATTCTGTGGAGGGTTAATGGTCTCTATTTTTGTAAACCGAATAAGTCAAATCCATTGGTCACACCTCTGGTGATGGCATATTTAATTTGGATCTAGTCAATTAGGCCCAGCTAAGCTCCATACCCTGCTGGCTACGTCCTCCATTTTGCACTAGTTTGTGTCCCCTCCCTGTGCCAGGAGTAATCCTATTACCATACACACACATGCACATACACACACACACATTCACAGTTATACAGACCCACACGTTTGTACGCGTGCACACACCCACACATGGCCAAATGCATATATTTCACATATGAATGTCTGTATATGGTATATATGCACCAACACAGGTATACAAACGCAGGTGTGTGCACAAACACAGACATACACACACTTCTCACACACACACACAAAACAATGATGTTTCAGAACGATTGGACCCTGAGCCACTCTATACACACTGTTCACTGTGACAACACCGAGCCTGTATACATCCAGAATTATGTGGGAGTCTATTTGGCCCTGGGGCGAGAGAGAGGGGGGGAGAGAGGAGGTGAGAGAAAGATAGAGAGAGGCAGAGAATTAAAGAGAAACAGAAAAAAGGTGTTTGTGAAGGAGAAAGAGACAGTGAGAGAAACCACAAAGAGGGAGTGAGACAGAGTGAGCATTAGACAGACATAGAAGGGGAGAGAGAGAGAGAGAAAAGGTGGGGGGGGTGGGTTACTCCTCTAGCTGGTTAGTGTGTGTATTAATGTGGCTCATGCATCAACAGCACCCCGGCAGATTTATGACACTTAAGGGGCGCTCACTTCTCTCTCTCTCTCCTTGCACCAGCGACGACTGCTTACATTTTTGCCAATCAGTCTGTTGCCATGGCAACGTCCTACCTGCCCCCGCCCCCTACCCCCCCTACCTCACCCCATCACCACCTCCTTTCCTTCTCATCACTCCTCTCCCCCCTTTTTGCCCCATTCGCCTTCTTTCTGTTTGGCACACACACACAAACCAAGAGTAGTTGTTTAACAGAAATACTGTGTGTGTGCGCGCGTGTGTGTGTACACCAAACCAGAAAACCTGAAAATTTTCAATTCAATGTACTAAGACGCTCAAAACACATCTGTATCACTGATTATATGATTGTATATTGTATATGAGTATGTGTACATCAAACTGTCTGTCTGTTTCCCTTTCCCCTCTGCTGTTCCTTCTCTCTTTCTCTTCTGGTTTTGTTTTAACCTGAAAAACATTCTCTTCTTTCCTGTCCTCCGTGATATGCAGGATGTTTAGTCCTGTAGCTACTGGATATGTGAGAGAGCTGCACACATGTGCGCGCACACACACACATTACATACACAGAGTTACAAGGTTGTGATCAAAGGCTCTTATCACCACACCGAGGGTGGGAGAGTTAGAGAGTAAGAGAGAAAAATCAGCCTGGCAAGAACAAGAGCCTGTTTGTAACAAAAACCCCATTTAAACACTGAGGGGGAACAAAGTACGAATGAATTATTCCTGAATATATCAGTATGGAGAAAAGACACTTAACACCACTTACGCATTATTTTGTAAGAGTATAAAATGCCAGAGATCGTAGTTTTAAACAAACACCTAAAAGCAGGTCCACACCTGATGTGCAGTAAACATATACATGAATAATGTACCCCTGTTCAAATGTTGTAGACATGCCTCTGCTGATCTGATGTGTTAAATAAATGTGCATGTGCAAGTCAGTGTGTGTGTCAGTTTGGTTTTTACTTACATCCCCCTTTGTGTTGCGATTGGCCGGACTGGGGCGGGGCTACATGTAGTGCCACTGACCTTCCATGCCCATGTTCATGCCCATTCCACCCATTGGTCCTGAGAGGGGATAGAGGGAGTGAATTTAAATGCAAAACCTTGGTTTATTTAAAGAGACAAGAAGTTCTTTAAGAAGTTAATCAACTGGAAGCAGGAACGTGTTTTCACACTGAAAGGGAAAACACTGAGGTAAATACCAGCGATGGTCTCACTCTGAGCAGAACTTGACAGACAACATAGCAGAGGAGCAAACTGGCTTAAATCTGGCAGAGCGAGGAGTGGTGAAGCGGGTGAGGAGGGGTGGATGGGGTGAGGTGAGGTGGGGTGGGTTAAGTAGCCTGGCAGTTTATCCAAACCTGCTGACTTTGAGTGGAGGGTGAGATAGGGTTAGAGACTTGAGAGAATCCCAGAAAACAGGGGATAGAGGAGGAGGAGAGGAGCTTAAGGACAAACTCTGGGATTAGACCTGATGGCGTGAGAGAGAGGGACTGAGTGCGAGGGAGTGAGGAAGGAGATGGTTGTGTAATGTGATTGACCACACCTGTTCTGGTTTGTGTGTCGAGGGAGTGGGAGGTATCTGTGTGTATGTGTGTGTGTGTGTACATTACGTGTGCCTGTGCAGTGTGTATCTTTATTGCTGTGTTGAGGGTGCACAAGCTGCACAGCTTACACTTAAATCACCACACAGTGACCATATAGCTTCCACTAAGTACTTGTGTGTGAGAAAAGACAAGGGGCATGCTGGTAGGATGAACCATAATCATGGCAGATGCTGCTGTATGAAACACACCTAGTGATATTGTTAGAAGATGAGAAAGGTGAGAGAGAATAGATGAAAGAGATGAGACAGGAGTGAATTTGTATGAGGAAGGACTGATGAGGCAAGAGGGAGAAAAGGAGGACAAAGGCATGAAAATGAGCTAACGTCAGTAGGGAAAGAAAGGAGAAAAATGGGTAGAGAGAGGGAGGAAAGAAAGGGACAGACACGCAGAGAAAGCCTTACCAGGTGGTCTGATTCCCATGTGCTGCTGGCCGTCCATGACGAAGCCCCCCATCGGCTGGCCATCTGGATTGTAGGGAGCTCCTTGACTTACTGTGGATGGAGGAGGAGACAGAGGGAGGGAGGGATAGAGGGATTGGAGGGAGGGGATGGAGTGGTCAATTAGTGCTTTTAATTAAGGCTCAGTGGCCGAAGCGGGATCATCTGTTGGCCAGTGCACGCACAGGGAGCCGCCGTTGTCTCTCAACGTCATTCTGCTCCGTGTCTCTGCAGCCGGATCTACACTGTAAGCCCCTGGTAGACTTTAATGCGTCTAAATGCTCTAATAGGGATCGGACTGAGATCCAATGTGCACTTAAGACACACAAGGACTTTTGTTTTAAAATGAGATTTGAACCATGTGGAAGACGCGGTAACTGTTTTTACATGATGACTTTTGATGATTTTTCTTTAAGGTTGTTAAAATCATCTTATTCCACACTTTCTGACAGTATCATACATGTTGTCTATCAATTTAATTTCAACCCTCTTGTCACTGAGTGAAATATTCAAACCCCAAACTGTTTTTTTATTTTTATTTTTTTATGGCTGTACCATTCAATCAAATGGAAATACTCAATGTTTTTGCATAATTTCATACACATTTCAAAAAACTTCAACCTGACATATCTGGTATCTTTGGAAACTCTAGCATCTGCACTAGAATTTAAAATAAAGTTCCTCTGGGTTTGGTTGCACGGCATGACTTGCCTACCAATGAGTAAGGTTTAAGCGGTGGCATGTGTACAGTTAAATTTTTCTCACTCGCAGAAAAAAGACGACATTTTGAAAAGTTACTCCAAATATAAGAATTTATACATTTTCATTCAGACATTGTTATTTAATGCAAAGGTACTGAAACCAAATCCCTGCTATTTAAATAAATACTTACCATGACTTTTATGTTGAACAAAATGACACTTTGGCACACACTGGTATGATTTCAATATCCTTGATTATACATATGATCAAAAGAACAAAATGAACTCCAGGCTAAAGCTCTAATTGGTTTCCCTTTGTGACAACAATAAGTCATTCTTGCTGACGGGCCTCTGCTCCTACCTAAATGCTTTATCTAATAAATGCTGCCTATAACTGAGCAGCAACGATAAGTGAAACCTGATAGGGTTCCTCTTTTTTGCTCGCCTCCATTGTTCTGCTCTCATAGAAATCCACTTACCTTCGATTTAGGCTGTTTGGGGGTCAGTCAAGCAAAAGCAAGAACTCGGCCCCACTGAATGCCTTTGAACTTTACTGCGCCCCTAATGCCACCCTGACCTCTGACCCCTATTACAGGTAATAAAGTTTACGGCAGTCCAAACCAAGCCATGCACCAGGGGGACCGCTCACTCACTCCCCTCGCTCCCTGAAACAGCCACAAATAGGGTTGAGGTGGGGAGTTTAAAGGAGTGAGAGGGGGGTGGGTAAAAACAGGTCTGGAGCCAAAAAGCCAAACAACGGTCACCCAAAAAAAGAAACGGGTGTAGCTCTCTTTATGTTTTGGTTTGAGCCAGGGAGGAAGGGTTGAGTGTTTTTTTTCCTTTGCCTGGTTGGCAAAGGGGGGGGGGGGGGGGGTTAAGAGCAAACTTTACCGAGAACACAGAGAGTTTTGTTTATGGGCTAAGAAAAATAAATCCACTCATCGTTAACTCATTTTCAAATGATTATATTTTATAATTAATAAATAGTTTCTCACCCCAAATGGCACGTCAAAGTTGATTAATGGTTGTTGTTAATGTTGTAACGTTAATGTAACGAAGGGGACAGCCCCTGGAGGTTTTGGACATTCCAGGATAAGGGGGGGGGGGGGTCAGTCCTGTATTTACCAGCTGAGAGGCCTCCGAGTGCATGGAGTGTGGACGGCTTTCGCCTGCGCGACTTGAATACAGTAACTATAGGAGACTTGCCTGCACGGTTTGACTGGTCAATCATGGGCTGGACTATTCTCCTCCTCGCGTTAATGAACCTGAAGCAGATGAAGAGAGAGGGAGAGGGCGGATTGAAAGAAGGAGGAAGAGGAGAGAGGAGAAGGGACAAAGACACAGAAGATCAGGGAAATATTGCTTACTAAGACATTGAAAATCTTGGCACACAGCATAAAAACAAACACAATGCCAAACCAGCCTCTTTCTCTTAGCTAACCATAACAGTGATATGGAGAAATTATTCTCCTCTAAGCAAACCTGAGCCCTAGTAAAGCCCCTGTAGAGCCACAGCGAAAGTCACATCTTAATAACCTTAACAACCGAGGCAGTTGTCTTTCAAAACGCAGAACTCCACGACTTGTGCAAACTTGCACAGCCTCAGTGTATACACAGTCACATCGACCTAAACACTGGGGTCTTTGTGGGGCGAGGCTTAACCGGGATTTTCTCTCTGCCTGTTTGAAACATGTCGACCCATCTCGCTTTGTTGGAGACGTTCCACCTCACGACGAGCTGAGATTGCTGACTGTTTAACACACTTGGCTTCGAGCGCAGCAGTGTGGCAAGTGTTGCTGACAGAAACATGTCACGTTGCCACTGGTGCGAGGCATTGTTTTGGGTGATACTCTGTTAAGACAGGTGACCATGTGTTACTCTGTGACAGCAGGAGCTTTTTTTAGCGTGTGTGTGTGTGTGTGTGTGTGTGTGTGTGTGTGTGTGTGTGTGTGTTTTCACAGAAGCAGGATTTGGTACATATAGTCTTGGACCAACCCCTTTACCCCATGACCTCCAATAAAAGCACAGGGTCAGACCATTTATTGCGCATGCACACACACACACACACACACACACACACACACACACACACACACACCATTACTCATATTTAAATCTGCTACTCACTCATTTTCAACAGCACACACACGCACACACACTCTTAATCTCTTTCCCTCTCCTATGTCCATTCACACACATTCACGCCCTCGCCCAGGCAGCGCTCTGGCCTTGCTCAGCCTAACCCCTTGTGAAATGACCCTTTGACCTGTAATGACCCCAAGGAGAGAGAGCTTTTGGGGCTTCTGACTTGATTTATGTGTTCCTGCTGTTGCCCCACCGGACACTTCTATTTCATCTCTAAAAGGGGAGCATTAGCTAAACTTTAAGGAAACAATGGCGCTGCTACACTTCTGAAGCTGGAGAAAGGAGCATTTCAAGGGGTCTAGGAGAGAAGAGAAGGAGGAACAGAAACAAAAGGACGCTAGCTGGTGGATCTGTTTGACTTCTAATTAGTGAATGGAAACCTCTTGTTTTATATCTCTTTAATATTCCCTCTCCAACTGCTTCGTGTTGCTCCCCTTTTCTGCCTGCTATCTCTCCTGTATCACCTTCTAAAGACAGAGCTGCAGGGAAATGACAAGAGTGGCGGAGACAGATAGCAAGAGAAAGAGAGAATGATTAGCAGCCTAATTGTTTCCCTGCATTATTTTTATATAATTGCTTTGTTATATCCTGTAAGCTGCTTTAGAAAAATAGTTCATTTTTTGACAGGGGTGCAAGTGGATCTTTCCGCGTGATAAAACGATCTGAGAAAAAGAAAGAAAACAAGCGACAGGGATCTTGTGAGTCTTTCAGCTGAAGGCTTTCACAAATTTGTTCTGTATTTGTTATAATAAAGTAATTTTTTTCTAGGGGGGGGAGCAGAAAGAGCCAGGGAGGAATGCGAGAATGCACTGACATGGCAGAGCACCATCAAATGAGGGAACGTCTGGAGTTTTATCACCAACACCCCCCCTCCCTCCCTTCCTCCCTCACTACCCTGTTTTGTTGGGGGAGATATGGGAGGAGCAGCAAGGGAGAGAGGGCAAGGAGGGTTGAGGAGGCCTGAGCATTCCTTTAACTCTCCTTCCACTCCTCTTCTCTCTTCTCATGGTCCTATATAGTAGGATGAGGTCAATCTGAGGCCAGCGCTGGCTAACTGTTGACCTCTCCTTCTCTTCACCTCCTTCCTCTTGTCTTTTATTGCTGTCTCCTCGACTCTGTTCTTCCTCTTTCTCTCTAACTTTTCTTTCTTTCCTCTTTATTTCGCTCCTGCAAAACTTAGTTCCTCCTTCCGCTACCCTCAAAGATACTGATGCAACAAAGAGGGTTGTTTAGGCAATAGGTGTGCACGTCTCAGAAAGTCAGGCATGTGTTCCTGGTACAGTTGAGCTCAGGGAGAAATCCAACTTCACGTGAACATCCAGAAATATGGCAGCAGTGCTTATTTGCTCTAAGGATTAAATAGACTATGTATCAGCGAAGTAATAATCCTACCATCACTGCAGCTCCTAGCCCGACAAGTGCTGCTACTACTCCTAAAAGAACATATACAGTGACTCTGCCCCTCATACCTCCCTCCCTGTCCCCCTCTGTATCTGTTTCCTTCTCCTGCTTGCTCCCTCCTTATCATTCCTTCCCTGTATGGTGGAAACTGGCAGTCCACCTCCCAGCAATGAACCCACTCTCTAACCCACAAAACCCCCTCCTCCTTGCAAAAACTCTCGCTGGTTTCCTGTCCCCTTCGTCCCCATATCTGAGGCCAGATGCACCATGGGGGCTGGAACAAAGGATAAAATGCCTCTCATAATAGCAGCCAGGGGAACGGAGCGATGGAGAGCGGGAGAATGGGAGGGAAGGAGGAGTGAGAGAGTGAGGGGGGGGGGAGGCAAAGGGGCTCTGGTCTGCAAACCAGACACTCTTGCTGTGACCGTTAATAAGCTAACAGAGAGAGAGACTGTGAGAGAGGGAGAGGTTGGGGTGAGGGAGAGAAAGGAGGGGAATCAAGAGAGAGGAAATAAGAAAGGGAGAAGATTCGCAGAGATAAAGAATGATGGAGGGACAGAGAGGAGAGAGAGAGAGCGGGAGAGCGGAGAAAAGCGGAGCTCCTCTATTAGGGGAGTGAGGCTTCACCTTTGCACGACCCCTGGGTGCTATAGGGCCAGTGTTTATGGCCTGTTCATTCCCCTGCCTCCCATCACAACACAATGAGCTGCACTATTCAGCTCTGCTCAGTGCAACAATAGCTGGGCTATTTTGGCGTGACACACCACTGGTGGTACGCCTAAAGTTGGGCAAAAACACCGAAGGACAAGAGGGAGGAAGGAAAATTACTTGAAATAAAATTTGGCCTCGTGTAGTTCAGCCAATCCGGCGTGGTACGAACTCTGCCAAGGGTTTGATTCCCACCGTGGGCACACGTGCTTGACACATGCACCCATGGTAAAGTGGATCAAAAAACATGTCAGCCATATGTTATTCCAGAACTGACGCCTGTTAAAAGTCATGTAGGGAGACTGGGTGAATTTTATTCTTTGTTGTTTTGCCTCCAATCTATTACTCCTTCTGAGATTGCTAATGTCTGGATTAATCCTCCCGTCCCTCTCCCTCCTTCTCTGGAAAGAGTGGAACTGATTGCGACGGCGTCTGCCAAGCCCTTGCTAATGTCCTATTCTCATTACACCCGAGACACGCACACACATACACAGGCACAGTGAGCCGAGGCAGCCGCACACAGGTGTACACGAAGCACACGTGAAATGCCCAATTAAAAGCAAGAAATTGTCTTTTTCATCAGCTGCCTTTGATGCGTGACCAATTAGGGGATAATTTAATAACGAGCAGTGGAAAGATGCAGATTGGATATACAAAAGGTTACTCTGCGAGCTCGTTGATTTAAATTCATGTGGAGTTCTCAATTTCTGTGGCACACATACTCACACACACGCACACCTCCTGAGCCCACTACCAATATTATATTAGTAATATGAGACACACTGAATCGCACCAACGTGCACATGCACATACTGTATATACACACACGTCCTCTGCACTCACTACCAATATTACATTAGTAATCTGAGAGAATGTGTGCACACGTGCACAGGCCTACACACACTTCACATTTATGGACAACTGGATATTCCAGCATAACACACACTCATCAAGACCCGCCGTTGGATGTCAGCGCATGCCGACAGAGGTTTACATGCATATTCAAATCCGAGAGCCGCTTAAAATAACTGTGTAACCACACGCTCCTCCTGGCTGCCAATCAATGTGATTTAAAAGCACTAAAAAGAAAGCGAGCTCCTGACGGGTAGAATCATGTAGCTTATCATCAGGTTGTCACTGCGCGGCCAGCATCGATTGTCTGCTGCTCAACCACAATTAACGCCTAGCCCATATATCCTTCCTTCTCACTGGTGAACACACACAGACACACACATACTCACACACACAAACTTAAACAAATTTCATTGTTTCTTTGTAAAGAACTTGCAGCCAACCATGTTTCTAGAGAAGTGATTTCGACATAACTTAATGCTGCATAAGATAATTATTAAAAAAACTAAAATTAAACAGAAGCAGTTGATTTGCACTTGTGCACCCACACAAATACAGTTACCAGCCATAAATCACGAGATAAGCAATCGTACAGCAAGTTAGAGCTAACACACACACACACACACGCACACACACACAGTACACTTCAATCCTATTGCTATGTCACACATTGTATCCCTGCAGAACTTTATTATCCTGTCCTGTGTCCCAGCACATCTCCATCTTCTTAAGTAATTAGTTATTTTATTATAGAGCTCACATATTCTCTTACGTGCAGCAGGGGGTGGCAATGCATTCATGTGCACGTACCTGCATACTGAGTGTGTGTAAATGTATGCGAGCGTGCTGCATGTGGGTGTGTGAGGGAATTACAGTTATGAGTTTCTTCCCTTGTTCTGCTCAGCTGACAAGTTAACTCATAAATCACCTCCTTCTCTTTTCCCCACATCCATCCCTGCCTCCCTCCCTCCCTGCCTCCCTCCCTGCCTCCCTGTCTCCCTCTCTCCTCCTCAGTGTCGTTCTCAGGTCAGATACTTGGATTAGATGCTTCAGATTAGTGTAAATAAACTAACGCAGCTGCTTGCAAAACAAATCCACAAACAGTTAAGACATGAGGACTGTCTCTAACACTGAATACAAAAAAAAATGCAAATGTCAC